TTCACTCATCTTTCCAAAGTCTGGGGCCCTACTGTACGTTCTGTATTTTTCCAGGAACAGTGTGGCCTACTACTGACCCCATGCCCTCTAAAATCCTTAGTGATAATAAAATGAAACAAGAAGCCCTGCCAAGGCAAGAGAAATTTGTCTGGCCTATGAGGACCTGTGTCCTGTTCTTATTCATTTAAGGAAGCCCTCTGAACCACCAAACCAAGTGAGGTTCTGGTATACCAGGAATAGTTCTGGAGACTATGAGTTTGCTACATGCTATTTCTTGGCTTTTTCTTCCCCCTATTGCTTGGTGGAGTTATGTTATTTGTCCAGGAAACTTCATATCTAAATGTTTAGAAAAGGGAAGCTACATCAATTCCTCTAAGTGCCTGGTTCAGAAGCAATATAAAAACAGAGGTTATTTTTCATACACTGGGCATTTCATAACCAACAAGTATTCTGGACCACGTTTCTCTTTCCTCCGGCAGGTTTCAAGTGTTAATAAACAGTGCTAGTCTATACATGCTATTTATTCTAGAGAACCACTCTGAATTTGAGGTATCCTATAACATTCAATCAAAAGAAAGGGGACTGGAGAATACTGTAGATTTAAAGAGTAATTATGCTTTTTTTGGAAGGTGAAGTGGGGTGGGGATTGGAGCTATGATTTCATTGGTGGAGGGAATTCCAGGTAAGAAAATTCCCTCTACCAACATAGATTGGCAACTGCTCTGCAATTTACGGTCTGAGTTGCCCAGGGCAGTAAGAGGTTAAGTGACTCGCCCAGGGTTACACAGCTGGGATGTGGCAGAAGCAGGGCTTGAGCCTTCTTGACTCCAAGGCTAGATCTATATTGATGCTCTCAATTATGCCTTAAGGTACAGAACATTTCTACCTGCAGGCATGTATTGTATTTTATAAATTGAATTAGGTATTTTAAAAGAATGTACAAAACAAAGTAGTAATTCAATTTCTAAGACGCTAGCTAGGGGAAGATTAATTAGTAAAATAATGATAAATATTAGCAGTTGGTCCCTCACTACCTTAAACCCTGTTTTCAGATGTTGAGGCTGTTATTGTTATTTTCATGTCTGGCTGGTGCCACTGTAGATGCTGTGACACTTAAAATTCAAATCGAAATTCTTCTTTTGACCCACAACATACATTTAAGTTTCAACCTTCTTCAAACTCGGTCATATAAAACATTAACAATACAATGAATCTCTAGCATCATCAGCTTTCCAAGTTTCTTTTCAACTGGCAGTTTTATCTTCAAGGCCCATAACACACCATTACATACATGCAGTCTGAGACACTATTTTTTAAAAACTAGTCTTCAATTCATTTTGTACAAATTATCCTCTTCAAAGCTACCTTTATACAGGTATTCAGCCCTCCAAGCTTTGGACCTCAGTGTATCCCTTTAAATAAGGGTTTAATGATTTTATTTTAAAGTTGACAAGTACTTCTCACTCTCATGGCAAACATGAGAACCACATATTTAATGCTAATGAAAACAGGTCAAACTATGTCCACCTCTATCTTATATATCTCCATTAGAAGCAAACCTTTTAGATTCCAAAGCATCATTTAGAATGGGGTGGCTAAGCATATCCTGTGTAATTTATTGACTTCACACTAAAGGAGCTAAAAGATTTCTCCAACATCTGGAAGAAAATTGTGCTTATGATCACTCTATTCACCTACTCAAATGACCAACAAAACTTGGAATTAATAACTACCCTTTCCTATGCCATTGGAAACCTGCTTGAGGCAAGCTACTGGTCAAGAGTCATTATGGAATAAGATAGATTGATGATTATTACCCTGTCCAATGAAACTGCTATTCTGACCATGTTAAGAATCTCTTTGGTCTTTTGCTGGGGTGGTTTCCATATCCAATATGTTGTCGGTACATGTAAATATATACTGTCACCTTGCCTATTGCTATGGATAAAAGCTAAAGAGTATTATATACTCTTGTCTAAAATGCACTATATAACTTTGTTTCCAATTATTCAAAAGGATGAGCATTGAAATATTTTCCATAGTAAACTGTTTTGTAGTTTTGCCAGGAAAATTCATGGAAAACAAATGATGCTAAAAGTTCTGATTATAGTCACCTTCCTGTGGCTGGCTTACTGATTTTTTTGGGCTGTGACAACCCCAGGGGGGTGCAACAGGTTTTGCACAGAAAGATTCCCCATTGCTTCTTGCTGATATTTTCTGGGATTTATTAACCAAGTTGTGATCACTAGGTATTTATCCTTGGGGATAAGTTTTGGAATGTGGTAGCATTCCTCAAAATCCCATTTGCTATGAATACAAGATGCTTTTGCATTTCCCAAGGCTGTGGCTCTAAGGTTTTACTAGGCACACGGAAAGACTAACAATTTGTCATTTAAGGACAGTCCCTAACAAGCCAAAGTAAGGTAATAGGTATCTGCTCTGAGCTTTTTAGCTCTAAGAGTCAGATTGGTGGTGATTTTTTTGCATTATTTTTTGTAAGCACTTTTGGTTGAGTGAAACCCAATACTAAAGAAAACAAAAAAAAAATTAAGGATCAAATTTTAAATAAACATTCATTCAGAGTCTGAAGATGATTAAGGCAATGTGCCAGGTCTCTCAATCTGTCTTTCTTAGCTAACAGTAACATACTACAAAAGGGTAAGACATGGCCAAGTCACAACTATCAAAATGTGAACAGGTGCCATAATTTAAAAATACCAAAAGTATTAGAGAGGGTATATTTTCAGAAACTCTCTCTCCTCCATTCAATCATAAATAAAATCATTAATTCAAGATTGCATTTAAATTTGTAGCTAATATAATGACAATTCCTTTTTTGTCAAAGAGCTTGTTTTAAAAGCTATACACCCAACTGTTCTAGAGAGTATTATAAACCACAAAGCTAAGGATTCAAGATCTGCAAAACTCATTTTTTATAAACAGAAGAGTTAAAAAGTATGCTCTTTTAATCAAAGCTATAAGTCCTCATGTGTAAGAAAGCAAGCATAGCTGTGAGAAATAGTGTGTATTCTTTTACCATTATAACCCGGGTACTTTTTACCCAACTACTTCCCCAACATATTAATGAAAAACAGAACACAAGTATAAAGAATAATCACTGCAAATAAAGGTATGAAATTTACAAAAGGTAATAGCTCAAAAGCTTCCTTTTAGAGATAAAAACCACTGCAAATCTGAATGCAGTAATTTATAATGAGAGGAAATGTTGCAAATTGCCACTATCCCCCTCCCCCAAAAAAGCAGGAAATTCTAAGATATGTAATCTTGGAATCATATAATTTAGAGACCATCTAAGAAAATGAGGCTTAGAGCGGCTAAGAAATTTGCTTAAGGTCAGCCAGCTAGTTGGTAAAATAGACAAGACTAAAACCCAAGTCACTTAACCTTTTTTCACTCTCCTGTGTACTGTAGAACAATGTATCACTTACAATGTTCTTATTACTTATATGCTTAAGAGTAGGTTAGTAAACATTTCTGGTTGTTTAAAAATATTTCATACTCATTTGCTATGTTGCTTTAGATCTTGGCAGTTAATTAAACAATCAAGTGGGAAGATCTTTTCAGAAATGTATTCACATGACTCAATCAGCTGTTGGGAATACTCTGCTTTACCCATCATGAAAGCAGCTATAGCACAGAGTGAACATCAAAATTGTTGCAGAATAATCCTGAACTAACTGATGAGTTTGCATTTCTTCTTTGCTTTCAAACCTGACAAAATTTGTGAGATAAATATAAAATTGGTCCAGGCAAGTTAATAATTTTGCAATCATACAATTATTAAATAATGGAAATGTGATCTTAAATCTCATTCTACAGAATACCATTAGGAGCATTAAAAAATTTAACAAGACTGATCCCTAGTCTATGAAGACCCACAGGATTAAAAGAAGCCACCAGAATAAGATTTTTTTTTTTGCATCACAGTGATAAACCAACCCAGCACACCCTCATATAAGCTCTTGCATACCACAAAGGAAGAGAATTTCATGTTTTCTCCTAATTAAAAGCATTATAACTTAGTGCTAATTAAAAGCATAACAGAATTTTTTTTCTTTTGGATCAATATCACAAGATAACTGGCCAAAAATGAAAACGAAATTTATGTGGTATGCTGAATAAACCGGGATGGAGTTTCAAATGGGACACAAAAATCAAAGATACTGTTCACTCAGTTTATATGAGCCCTTAAGATACACACATATGTGTATATATGTATACACACATATGTGTATATATGTATACACACATATGTGTATCTATGTATATACACACATATATGCCTATGTATATGTGCATATGTGTGTGTATCTATCTATCTATCTATATACAGAAACTACTGTGCCAGTTGCACAGTAAATTTTTTGATGTTGGAAAATTAACTGAATACACCAGATGCACCTTTTAGTAAAGTAATGCATAGTAGTGAGTGAATCAGACTTGAAATATATATATTTCAAAAACAGTGAAAGGCACCTAGCAGGTAACTAAACGAGTTTACCAGTTCACACCACTTTTACAGCATTCTGCAGTTTGATCTAGATAGCTAGATCTGACACTCTTTATCTGTCATATACATGCACTAATACAGAACAGAACTCTTTAACAAGAGTTAGATTTAAAGGAGTGGCTGAAATAGGCCCTAGTGTTCAAAGGTAAGTGCAGCTGTGAAACTGGGATTTCTCCAGGGAGTTTTGGGGCTTCCTGTAAGGTCAGCTGTTAGCAACTTATCAAGCAGCTGCTGCATTAACAAAAGCTTTGCTTGAGTTTTGCCAGCTACAGGAGCTTCTATAGGAAGGAGGTTGAACTGCTGTTTCTAGAAGAAGGAAGTTCTCCAAGTGTTGCCAACCAAGGTGTCAGAAGAAGAAAAAATCCCCCCCAAAAAGTAGAAAGAAGCTAAAAAAGCACCCATACTCTGTGTGTGTGTGTGTGTGTGTGTGTGTGTGTGTGTGTGTGTGTGTGT